TATATGTCTCCATAAAGCAAATATAACAGAAGTAAGCACAGAAAGAAAAGGAAAAAAAATAACTCACTTCTTCGTTAAGCTTGAATATCCTCAGATTTAGGTGCACCGAATTCTTTAATAGCAGTTAGATACTGCCTAAATTTATCATGAATAGAATCTGTGTACCTCCATCGCCACATAAAAAGTCCCTAATTTATGACTGCCCACATACCATCGATCTTATTGACGAGAAGCAAAAATAACCTTACCAGCCGGTATTCAACGTAGAACTAACAGACCTCTGAAATTACATATACCGTTAAACATTTAAAAATAACGCTAAAATCTAAACCAATCAGAATCACGATTGGGTTTCAACATCGCCCAGCTTGGCGATCACAACTTGGCGAGAATCAAGGGGCACCCTCAAATATAGTCTACCCGAGTTTAGTCTAGCGGGTGTGGGGATGAATACTATTGAGTAAATATGTAAAAAGAACTCCCTAAGTTTCATTTTTACATTTCTTAAAACAAATAAATAAATGAATGAAAGAAAAAATATACTTTTTTGACAATAATTATTTAAATATTTATTACCATAATAGTTTTGTATAAATAGCTTTGCCATAAACGATAAAATTTAGTTTAATGATGAACACTCTTAAATAAGTCCACTCGTTTTCGATGATTGTCTCAGGACAACCAGGAAGTGGTAAAATCCTATAGAGATAAGATTGGTACTCACAAATTAAAGGGAAATTATTGATCGTGCAAGAGACACGCTGTGCTTGCAGCTTACAGTGAAGATTAACTGCTGCCGTCTAGTGGCAGGTCTTATATTATAATGAGAGGTTGGTTGCCACATGAGTATCCCCCCTGTGAAGGAGAGAATCGACAGAACGACACAGGCCTTACCGAGACATACAATGTTAACAAATACAAAGTACGCTGAAAGAAAAAAAATTATGAAAAGTTGGAATGCATGTTACAAGACATAATAGTTTGGGTAATAAAAAAATGGAAAGCTGAAATTTCCGATTAAACACTAACATAATAGGTTGGTAAAGTATGAAACATATTGGTTGGTGAAGAAAATATCACAATATTATCACATTTTGGCAAAAAAAAGGGAAAGTTTCATTTTGTTTTTACTCAGTGATAAGTCTCTTGGGGAAACGTACTCGTCTTCCAGATTTTGTCAGTTGTTGTGCGGGCAAACTTGGAAAATCACTCGTAGAATTACCAATGACTAAGTCATTAGTTTCACTAATTAAATCATTAAAAATCAATGCGGGCTTAACCCTATCTATTATTTTTCTCGATGGTAATGTGTTTATCAGTTCTTGACAAAACTTAATGGGGGCCAGTGTAAGGCTGTGTTAACGGTGGGACAATTTTATCCACACGAAGAAATACATGGGTGCAATCCTTTAGTTGGGGATGCACAAAGATTTTCTGTTGACCGTGAGCAAATGTTGGTGTTGGTCTCATGCTGCTAATTTTCTCTTGTAATTGTTGCACAAAGGGATAGTCACAAGGTACTGAAGGGGTGTCTGAGCATATTTCAGCTGGTAGCCGAAGAGGCATACCATCTACTAATTCAGCACTGGAAACTTTTATGTCAGGTTTGACAGCAGCTCGTAACCCGAGTAAAATCACGGGTATGGTTTCAGTGCACTTAACGTTTTCGTGAGCTTTATTGGAGTTTTTTAAAACTCAGTGGAAACGCTCTATCAAACCATTCTATTGAGGGTGGAATGATGTGGTACGAATGCGATTTATCCCGTTGAATTTGGTTAGTTCTTTAAAAAGAGAAGATTCAAACTGGCTGCCTTGATCTGTTGTTATGGTGGCAGGACACCCAAAACGAGATATCCAGCCATGGAACATTGCACGACACACAGTTTCAGCCATCATGTCCTGCCAAAGGTATTACTTCAGGCTACCTGGTGTATCTGTCGATGATGGTGAGACAATTCACTTTTCCATCAGGGCAAGGGACCTATCAAGTCTATGTGTATATGGGCAAATCTTGCATCAGGTAAGGTGAATGTACCTAGGGGTGCTTTTGTATGACTGTGTATCTTTGAACGCTGACAGGCAGAACTGCTTTTGACCCATTCTTTGACATGTCTTTTAATGTTAGGCCAAACATATCTGGATGCAATTAAACTGAAAGATGTTGCAGCACCAGGATGTGCAAGATTGTGAAATTGTTCACAAAAGGTTCTTCGAAAATTTTCAGGAACAAAAGGTTTGGGAGATCCGGTTGACACGTCAGATATCAGCTCAGTGGCTGACGCTCGAAATGGCATGCTTTTCAGGTTGAGAGAAGATTTGTCATATTTCTGAATATTTTGTAACTCTTCATCACCTTGCTGTTCTCTGGCCTGCTCTTCAAAATCAAGAAATGAACTTGACATTTGATCAATTTCAACCCCTGAGGGGGTTTACCTTCTTTAGGTAGACACAGGGAGTCATTCCCCGGGGTACCCTAGTGATCTATCCTCCCTTCCGTTTCCTCTCCCTTTCCTCCTACTTTCTCCTTTCTCTTCCCCCTTGTCGTGGTTGCCGAATTTACTGGTAAGGGCTTTTTGTCTGCGTTCGATTACCACCCTGTTCTGTCGAACCCAGATGGGAAGAGACCACCCGCGTGTTTGCCGTGCGTGGAGACCCGTGTCCCTGGAAAAGGGGATCCTGGTAGTTGAGGGGCATCTTGGTACCCCAATACACTGCTTCGGCCCTTGCTTCAGGTAAACGGGAGGTGCATATTAGCCTGTATGCATCAACCGGCTTGCCACGAGCATCATCTGTTGGCTTAGGTCAAGTCCGGGGTCACTTGCTGGGCACCTCGTTAAGGGTGGAGGCTGCTTCAGGGGTGACTCGCGGGCGTATAACTATTGGCTAGCATTGGTGTATGTAACGTATTGGTGTTAGAACCAATATGTTGTCTGCATCCCCTTTGTTGGACTCCGTGGTGGGTGGTGCCGCTGGTAGTTGAAGTCTTTGAAATTTTCTATGGCGGAAAATGACGGCAAGGTGTTTAGTTCTGCACACCACAGCAAAAACAGCGGAACACCTTTATCACCGTGTGAATATGCTCGTTATTTTAATATAGCATTGTTAAATCCCACTGTTTCTAACACTTCGTTTAGTAAAATATCCCCATTTTTGATACGCAAAGCTCTTATCTCTGTTTTAGGAGAAGTAACGTCTGTTCGAAAATTACGATCAGGTGACCTCTTAGTACAGGTATCATCTGAAAAACAAGCGACTACTCTATCAACCTGTAAAAGTATATGTTCGTTTTCAGTAAACGTCACACCTCATAAGACTCTGAACACCTCACGAGGGGTGATATCGCAATCAGAATTTATTGATGACACAGAAGAAATGATTGTAGATGAATTGCGCGATCAACATGTTATTGCTGTAAGAAGAATTAAGGTTCGTAGGAATGGCCAACTCGTTCCCACGAAACATCTCATTCTTACTTTCGCTACTCCGAAGTTGCCATCTGAAGTCAAGCTTGCCTGGTATAACTGTCCGGTTAGACCATACGTGCCAAACCCTTTGAGATGTTTCCAGTGTCAAAGGTTTGGTCACTCAAAGGCCTCTTGTCGTAGCACACCCATTTGTGCTCGCTGTTCTGGTTGTGGCCATGACGATACTTCCTGTGAGTTACCGCCCCTTTGCATTAATTGCAAGGGTGATCACGCGGCCTACTCCAGGAATTGTCCAAAATGGTCACAAGAAAAAGAAATTCAGACCATTAAAGTCATGCAAAATTTGACTTTTAATGAAGCAAGGCGAATGGTTACCGCTCGAACTCCCCGTCCGGGCGTATCCTATTCTGCAGCTGTAAAAGCAACCTACTGTTCTGTCAGCACACAAACTGATACTCCTTTCGCGCTAACATCTACCAAACAGCCTACTTTTCATTTTGGAGCATCGAAACCTAATGTTTCGAATCAAGCAACTTCATCACGCAGTTCTACCTCGACCAATTCTCCACCTTCTAAAGCAGCTAAATTAGATCAATATGATAAATTTCCGAAGAAACAACAACGCATAGACATAAAGCCCCAACCAATACGTCAACGTCCTGGACAAACGAAAAAGATACGAAGTACCTCCAGTATGCCAATTCAGCTTCTGGAGTTTTACAAAATCTTGAAGAGGACTATGTCCATTTATCTCTCTGAAGACGAAGAAAGCATTTTAGATTGTCCTCCGGCTAATCAAGAGATCATGCAAATCTCACAATCCACAACATAATGGCATTTACGCTTATTTCGTGGAACAGTCGTGGCATTCGCAATAAATCAACTGATGTCAGAGAGATAGTCTCTCGATATCAACCTGCGTGTATTTTATTTCAAGAAACACTTTTAAAATCATCTGACAAGTTTCACTTGCGTAATTACTCGTGTTTCCGTAACGACTGCGATGATCGCAACCGACCACATGGTGGTGTTGCGATTTTAACTACAAATAACTTACCTTTCATTAGCATTCCATTGACAACCTCATTACAGGCTATTGCTATTCAGATTCATATCAATGTTCTCATCACCATATGTTCCATTTATTTACCACCCAATGACTCGATTTCACAAACTGATTTGAATTGCTTGATTAATCAATTACCTAAGCCTCACGTTTTATTAGGAGATTTTAATGGCCATAGTGTATTGTGGGGCAGTTCTGACTCCAATGATCGGGGTCGAAAAATCGAAAAACTCATTGAAGACCATGGCCTTTGCCTGCTAAACCAAGGCGAAGATACATACTTTCATGCGCCCACACGAACATTCCATTCCATTGATTTGACTTTCTGCTCATCAGACCTCTTACCTTTTACTCAATTTTCTGTAGACAATGACTTACACAACAGTGATCACTTTTCCCTCGTTGTTTCATATTCTGCTACTGCACCTATTACTCCTAGACCACCAGTATTCATCTATCATCGCGCTAATTGGAGTTTGTTTACTAAACTTGCACATATCACTGATTCCCTCGTTACCTGTAATACTATAAATACAACTGTTGATAATGTTACGTCTGTAATTATACACGCAGCTGAAGAGAGTATACCAAAGACCTCCACTTCACCTCCCCGCCATCGCAAGCCTTGGTGGAGTGAGGAATGTGCCACTGCTTATAAAGATCAGAGACGCCTTTGGAACATCTTCCGCCGTACCCCAACAACAACGAATCTTCTAGCTTTTAAACGAGCTAAAGCCTTTGCCCGCAAGGTCCGACGTAAGAGTCAGAGAAATAGGTCGAGATATGTTTCCTCTATTACATCGTCGACATCTCCGAGCCAAGTCTGGTCAAGAGTAAAGAAAGCAAATGGTATTTACCGGGACTTTCATTATCCAGTGTTTGAGATAAACGGCATCAAATACTCGTCTCCCATTGATGTATGTAACATTTTAAGCGAAACATTTGCAGGTACCTCAAGTCCCGACAATTATAGCACAACATTTCAACTACACAAAAGTAACGCTGAAAGCCAAAATATTAATTTTAACAGCCGCCAATTCACATCATACAATTGTACTTTCACCCTTCCTGAACTAAAGAGAGCACTGTTTAGATCTTCCAACACAAGTCCAGGTCCTGATGGGATTACATATAAAATGCTCCGCCACTTGGACACGAGGTCTTTAAAGAATATTCTTGCCCTATTCAACAGAATATGGACAGAGCAGATGTACCCGTCGAGTTGGCGTGAAGCCATTGTAATACCCATATTAAAGCAAGGAAAAGATCCAAAAGAGCCCATTAACTATCGCCCGATAGCACTAACCAGCTGTTTTGGTAAAACGCTTGAGCGTATGGTTAACGCGCGCCTTGTGCATTACATTGAAAAAAAGCGCCTCATACCAAACTTTCAGAGTGGTTTTCGTAAGGGAAGATCCACAGTTGATAACATCGTTGCTCTTGAGTCTAGAATTCGCAATGCTTTTGTCCGGCGCAATCATCTAGTCTCTATCTTTTTTGATATCGAGAAAGCCTATGATCGGACATGGAGATTCTGAAGGCACTGTTTGATATGGGTCTCCGTGGTCGTTTGCCAATTTTCATAAAAAATTTCTTGCTCAGACGTTATTTTCGTGTTAAGCTTGGATCCAACTTTTCTGACCTATATATTCAGGCTGAGGGTGTTCCCCAGGGCAGTGTGCTAAGTGTCATATTGTTCATCGTTCATATTTCACTAGTTTTAAACGTACTGCAACCTGCTGTCTTTGGCTCTCTATATGTTGATGATCTACAAATCTCATGTTCGGGATCCGACATGAGAATCATCGAGCGACAACTTCAGTTAGCAGTGAATAAAATTTTAGACTGGTGTGATCATAATGGCCATACCCTCTCACCTTCTAAAAGTTCATGCATTCATTTCTGTCGGAAACGCGCACTTCATAATGATCCTGTCATTTTCATTCATAACATTGCTATACCAGTTGTACCACATGCAAAATTTTTAGGAGTCACTTTTGATAGCAAGTTAACTTTTATCCCTCACATCAAACAATTACGAAAGCGATGCGAGCAAAAACTGAATATGTTGCGTGTTCTCTCAAATACGTACTGGGGAGCGGATCGCGTAGCACTTTTACGCATTTATCGGGCCCTGATACTTTCACGGCTTGATTATGCATGCGTTGTTTATGGTACTGCAACCACCTCTAACTTACGAATCTTGGACACAGTACATCATACTGCTTTACGCATATGTTCCGGAGCATTTCGTACTTCCCCGGTTGAAAGCTTATATGTTGTTTGTCACCAGATACCATTATATCTACGTCGCATCCAGCTGTCTCTTACATATTACTTTAGTATCATGTCCTCTAAATCGCATCCTTTAAAGCATGATGTTATTTCATCAAGCTTGGAGCGACTGTATATTGCTAGACCATCACACATTCCCCCACTTCATGCTCGCACACGCTCACTTATCCAATCATTCGATATTTGTGAATTACCATCACAATCAGTGGATCACTTTCTCATACCACCATGGACCATTTCACCATACCAATCTATTTCCCTTTTCAAGTTACACGATAAAGCCAACGTTACACCCTGCATTTTTCATACACTTTTCACTGCACATCGTCACCAATATTCTCATCATGTACCGATTTATACAGACGGTTCAAAATCTGCCGGATATGTAGGATGCGGGGTCATCATCGGTGATGATACATTTAGCTATAAAATCCCAGATATTTGCTCGGTCTTCACTGCTGAAGCTGTGGCTATCCTTATGGCACTACGTCTAATTTCCTCACGCTCTACTCGGAAGTATTGCCTATACTCCGATAGTATGAGCGTTTTGAGCCAACTAGAAAAGTTTCACTGTGATACTCATCCAATTTTATGTTTCATCATTCATTTGTTAATCACTCTTCAGAAGAATGGCTTCGAGATAATATTTTGCTGGGTACCAAGTCATGTTGGTATTCCAGGGAACGAACTAGCTGACACAGCTGCACGATCTGCCACATCTGTCTTGAAAGTGTCCATACCTTTTTCTGACATGAAGCTACATACTCGAAAGTTGATAACATCATTATGGCAACAGCAATGGGACCTGAAAGTTCTCAATAAATTGCATAGCATTAAATTCGATTTAAATAATTTTCCAGTGCTGCGCTTGCGTAGTGCTGATGTAAAGCTAACCAGACTCCGAATCGGTCACACCCGGTTAACAAACCTCCATCTACTGTTTGGAGAGCTTCCCCCGAATGCAGTACCTGTGACGTTCCTCTCACAGTTCATCATATTTTAATAACATGTCCATGTTTTAATCAATTTCGCTTAAAGCTTTTTGGGAGTACTATTTTATGCTTGCAAGATTTGTTAGATGATACTCACCATCCTAACATTTTTGCATTTTTACGTGCCGTAGGTATTTTTAACAGCATATAAAAGTTTTAACACATCTGCAATTTTATACACTTTTGCAAACATCTTACTATTTTGTACATTTTACTCACTTCGTGCGTTTTATACTGTACTCAAACTTTTATCTGATTATGCTCATACCTTTTATCTAATTTTCATAGCATTTATCTTGTTTTATTCGCTGATTTATCAGTTATAGTTGTGCTACAATTAAATTTTGTATGTACTTAGGCATGTCCTCATTTGGACTTTGTGCCACTAAACCCTACATTCAATCAATCAATCAATGATCAATTTCAATTCGGTAGACAGCATCAGCCACTGTGTTGCTCACACCACTAAAGTGGCGCACGTCTGTACTGAATTTTGATATGAAACCCAGATGACGCCATTGACGTGGGCTACATTTGTCTGGATTTCGCTTGAAGGCATAGATAAGTGGCTTTTGGTCAGTGTATATAGTGAACTTTCTCCCTTCCAGCATTTGACGAAGGCGCTTGACCGAACTGTACATGGCAAGGAGTTCTCTGTCATAGGTGGATCATTTTTGCTGACTTTTCGATAGCTTCATTGAGAGAAAAGCAATAGGTTCCCAGTCTTTGTTGTTAAGCTGTATAAGAGAACCTCCAATGGCTCTATCTCTTGCGTCGAATTTTTAATGATACCTACAGAGTTCAAACATTTTTTCTTTAGATTGGCTTCGCCGCCGATTAAAATTTTGATCGCGACTTTGATTTCTACCACGCGAAATTTGATCTATTCTCAAATTTATTTTTCGAATTTTTTCTAAAATCCTATCTTCACTGGACGAAGAAGAAACTGAGCAGGTACTTACTGGTGCTGGTGTGACCTCCAGGATACGATCTGCCACCTCCGCGGCTTTCTCCAGAGTCAGAGGGGTAATAGCAGCTAGGATGGATTGAACTGATGCAGGCAAATGCGACTGGAAAATTTCCAACATTAATTCGTTTGAAACTTTACGCGACTCCGCACGCCGCTTCATTATCCTCAGCAATTCACTGGGTCGACGATCTCTCAGTTCTTCCCCGACAAGCAATTTTCTAATTTCTTGCTGCGATGATTCAAGAGTTCCTTTGATTAGCTCTGTTTTTACATGTGCGTAGGGATCTCTAGCATCAGGGTTCAAAATTACGTCTCTGATGATGGCAGTTGCCTCGGGCGGCAGGTGTGCAATGAGATAGTTGAATTTAGTCTTACTTTCTGTAACTGCTTTCGGGCATCCTAGTTGAAAAGTACTTTCACAAATAATAAACTATAGAGCTGGGTCAGCGAAATTGTATGAAGGTATTTTTACCACGTCGACCATCGTAATTGCAAGTCCAGTTATAAGT